CTTGTCTGACCGAATAGTGGGACTTAACCGTCGTTTTTCTACGAAGCACACCAACAGCATCAAAGTGCGGAGCGAATTTTTGCAGCGAAGAGACGCGAAACTTGAACTCTCGGATTCACAGACCGAGCACTCTAACCACTAAACCACGCACGGCCTCCGTAATTTGGGAAGGCGCTAAGTTTCAGGTAGTATTTGACATACCAGCGTCACGAACAAAACATTTTCTGTGGTGCTGCACATAAGTACAGTCAGATGTAGTTAACCCTTCTCACCACTAAAGAGAAACCACACTTGTTACCATACATAAAGTTAACCAAAGCCGGCGTTATCGGGGGGGGCACTCCCCCTGAAATGTCATTCCCCCCAAACTAATGCCGTCTATTAAATCAATTTTAGGTTTATTTTAGATTTGGCCCCATTATATGTCTCACTGCTCCCCCAGTTAAGAAAAGCTAGAGTCGAGACTTCATTTGTTTGCCTGTTTTCTTCGCATTTTCAGAATTACCTTAAGTACTATCATCATTTGCTTTTGATTGTGAAATTTATACAAGTCAAAGCGCATATCTATGACTAGTTATTTTGTGTAATAGTACTCACGCATAATGATAATTGTTGCCCTTTAAGGCTGGTAAATTAGGGCTAGCTATAAAACTAAAACGATAAAATGTTACTTTCTTTTTTTTTTTCTTCAAAAATTTCATATCACGCTTAGTTGTGCATGTAGATTGCTTATTTTCTCGCTGTATTGTTTTTTTCTACTATACGAAATGCTGTTTCCTAAACACCTCTTAAGATAATTGTCAAAGTTCTCGTTCATACTAAAATATTCACAAAAACATTTCATTTGGTTAAACAAACACTTCTTCGTCTTGTCTTTAATGTCTTTGTGTTCTATTGAGTAACTTTCGTTGCTCTGTTTCGTAGATTCTTCAAGTCTGCTCCGCCAGTTTGTAGATTCGTGCTTCAGATGAGAATGGGTGGTTTAGTGAAAGTTTACGATGGTTGTCTAATGACTGGAGTAAGTATTTCAGAATATCTTTCCCTCAATATTGCGGTTATATAATCTTCTAATTAAATAATAATCTTTTATATAAGCCAGAATTTTCAATTTCCAGTTGTAACTTCTTTTTTTTTAATAGCTTTGTTTGTTTGTTTGTAGTTTAAGCAGAAAGATACACAATGGGCTATCTGTGCTCTGCCCACCACGGGTATCAAAACCCGGTTTCTAGCGTTGTAAGTCCGTAGACATACCGCTGTGCCACTGGGGGGGGGAGGCACTTTTGGATAGAGCACAAATTGGTT